TTTTAGTAGTAGAGACTCTACTTTTAAAGTACAGATTCTAAAATCCTTAGGGCCATTCCGCAATGAGCAAATGTCCCGTCGCCAGTCGCAAAATGGCAATTACTAATTGAAAAGTGCTGGTTATTTCTGGTTATTTCTGGAAAGATGGCGACGCTTATTGGTCAATGGTGACATCTTTGGTAACTAACATGTATTAATGTCTATATCACTAGGGCGCCTTAATGTTCCGCTACAAAAGCTTCGAGTCACGCGCATCTAGTGTTTAGATAGTTCAAAACGATTCAATGTACAGATTTAGATTTTTAATTTAGGCGGCGTTAAATAATCTCTACTTTTACAAAAGAAAGCTTATATTCTTTAATTGACATCTCGTATATCGGATGCAGTGTGAATTTTTCATTTAAGGTTTTCAAACAACAATTTGAAAGATATGGAAAGATTTTTGGAAATATGTCAGTTTCTGACTAATTAATGCACAACACATCAAATTTATTGGGATTATAAGTTTGAAGAGTACAGAATAAGACCTGGTAACCGGCTATACATGACGCTAAACTAACTCTGTACGGCAGAACAGAATATTTCTGTGTTTTCAAAGAGTTGCAAGACACAGTATAATTCGCACTTTTATCTGAAAACTTTTGGAAAGAAGTGCAATGGCATCGATGCAAGACAGTAAGTTCAGCGTTTAACAGGTTTCATGCTGTAAATGTATAAAAACAGACTTCTAAGTTGCAAAGAAAATTGAATATTATGTTTTGATTTTAAGTTAAAAGATTTCGGATAATTTTTTTACATATTTGCGGTTAATTGATAGCATATGCTATTAAATATTTTTGTTTACTTTAATAAAATAAAAAGTTTTGTGGTTATAATGCACCATTAACATGGGTGCATTGTGGTTATTACAAAATTACTGAATACAATAATGAGTATTTTGAAATACTAAACTAAAAACTTCAAATTAAATTACATACTGTTATTTAATTAAGAAAATAAATTTCAGAACTAAAACTCAAACGTGTCAGTTGCGATACATGGACTACGCGGGAACAATTATGCCTAGCATCAAGTGTGCTAAAGTCTGGGGACCAGAATTGGATGAGTGTATCTAGATCATTGAAGCCTTTCATAGAAAAAGAATTGCTAAGGCCTGCTGACTGGTATTCACAAAAGTCATGTGCCATGCAATACGCATATCTGCTTGAAAATGCTGATACACCAAAAAGGAAGAAACGAGAGAGCGGCGAAACCACCAGTGAATCCATAGTTAGAAGATTGACACAGGAGAGATTAACTGAATTGAATCAGGCTTTAGCTTATCATAAGAATGAATATTTGCGGCTTAAAGCGGATATAAATCTACTCAAGTCTGGCACGATAAGCGATGAGAACTTGGAGAAGATGTGGCACGATATACAACAAGAAGAACACGAAGCAGAACAGAAGACACGGGTTCAGATAGCGTGGCTAGCAAAACGTCAACAGCAACAGAAGCAAGAGATGAGTTCACCATCTATCTCGACTTCGGTCGCAAATCAAACTCGCAAACTTGTGGAAAGTGCGATGGATACAACAGTGCAGGAACCTGTCATGGCGGAACCCTCGACGGAAAATGACGATGAGAAGAAAAACAACAGGGGCGGTAGATCTCCATTGCTGACGAGTTTGCTGAAGTCTCCCAGCCCGACCACTCAAACCATGCAAACCTTTTCGTCTACCTCCGTTCAAGTCAGTTCGCCAACCATCACCAGTCTTCTCGGGTCGAGTCCCAAGATACTAAACACGCAATTGACACAAAATGTGTCGCCGCAGTTGCAGCAACTGGTCTCAACAGCTATCGCCAGTGGCAATGCAAACGTGACATCGGAACGGCCATCCGTCGGCGCACCTACACTTTCTATGCTGCTCGAGATGCCGGCCAGCGCGCAGAGAGGACCCCTACCAAACCTGCAAACGACGAATCCTGCAGCAAGCATACAGCAACAACAACAAACGGCTATGACTGCGGCCACCACTACCTCCGAGGTGCACAATTTCCAGCAAGCGGTGCAACCGCAACCTCAAATTCATCAGATGACCATACAGAACGAAACGACGAGTGCCACAGCAGCAGTGACGATACCTACGGCAGCGACTCCGGCACTCGCTGCAATCGTTACTGCACCGACAAATATACCTGTATCGGAGAACATGGTGCAGATAATCGATCACATAGACGACGTGATACGCAAAGACATAATGACAGACGTGATAGATAAAGACGAGATAAATGAAATCATCGGCGATATCGAGGAGTTGATCAAAAAAGAGATTACCCATAGTCCGCAGTCTCTAGACACGATTGGCTCGACGACGACGACGGCTACGACAACAACGACGACGACCACGACAACGACAACAATGGCGGCGACGACGACGGCGACGACGACGGCGACGGCGGCAGTTGTTGGCGGTCTGACAGGCGTATCGCAGCAAACACCGGGAAATCCGATAGTAGCGCAATCAAAGCCCGAACCGAGGGATGTAGACGAGGCTGTTTCACTGTCCGACTCGCCGCAGAGTGAAATGGCGATTGAAGAAATTGACTCCAGCACCTCGAACATCGCCGAAATTATTGGCACCGTTGCCATAGAGCCACAGGAGTCTAAAATCATCGTTGCGGAGGTCACGGAGCCCACAACGAAAACGTCGGAGGAGAGCAAATTCGAGGCGAGTATTTGCGATGAGAGAATGACTTTGACCGAGAATATTGTTCCAGAGTTAGAAGTGAACAGCACAAAGAACAGCAAGAATACTTCGATGGAGGGGAAACAACTGGATGCCGAAGTGAAGTCTTCAACCGCAACATCCGCGGAGACCGAGGAGAACGATTCTAAGCTTCTAGAGAAGGCAAAGCAGGCGACAGAGGAAACCGTGGAGGAAGAGGTGGAAGAAGTGGAGGAGGAGGAAGAGGATGAGGAGGAAGAGGTGGAAGTGATCGTGTCCGAAGACAAGGAGTCGTCCGAGAACGTCAAGGAGCAGAAGGAGCCTGCGGAAGAAACTGAAGGTAAAAATAATGCGAGATTAGATCAATTAGAAATGCATCTGGCGAAAATTACAGGGGACCAGCAGGACGTGCCGTCCACGGAGGTCGTGAGTGTTTCTTCGGAAGTGATGAACGACGTGCACAGTACCGAAGACACAGAGAAGTCACAGGACATTAGCCTGATTCTGGAGGACGATGAGAGCAGTCAGAGCTCAGAGAGTAAGAAGAAAGCAGCGGCGGAGGAGCAGATTATCGAGAACACGGTTGAGAGTGCCGAATCCTTGGAATCGTTTAAGGAGGAATCTGTGGTTTTGGTAAAAGATAAAACCACTGTGGAAGTAAAAGAAGAGTTGTCGGTGAAATCACAAGAGGAAGAGGCTGTTGAGGAAACATTGGAAATATACACGGATGAATTTAAGAAGGAAGAAATCAAGGATTCTTCAGAGGATACCACGAGCTCTATTTTGCAAGATACAGAGATGAAGGAGGAGGAAATTGGCAATGAGGCGGCTGAGGATATCACCCATGTGGTAACCGCAGAGGGAGTGGAAAACGTCAAAAGTGAGCCGGTAGATACTGTAACCAACGCGGACGTGAGTATTAAAAAAACCGAGACTCCGGAAGTTAAATCTGAACCAAAGACTGAGACTGAACCGGAAGGTAGCGGATCGTTTCATGGAAAAAGTTCGGTTCGCAGTTCAAGTACGGAGGAGGATAAAAAAGAGAAAGTAGAGATAAAAGAGGAGATAAAGGAAGACGTTAAGAAGACCGTCGATAGTGAGCAGAGCATAAAGAAAGAAATAGACTCTACAGTTGGGGAGGAACCTGGAGAATTAGACGAAGAAGAATCCTCCTTAAGCAAATTGAGCAGCGGACGGGCGATGAAGACGTATTCCAAGAGACAGAACGTCGCCATGGACAGTGAGCCGGAGAACGAGGGCACGGGAGAAGGTGCGGATTATCGCGCCTGGAAAAAGGCGGTCATGCTCGTCTACAATCGTCTAGCCACACACAAATACGCGTCCGTGTTCCTGAGACCGATCACAGAGGATCAGGCACCTGGATATCATTCGGTGATCTTTCGACCAATGGATCTGTCAACCGTTAAGAAGAACATTGATAACGGTACGATTAGATCAACTATGCACTTTCAAAGAGATGTCATGCTAATGTTCCAGAACGCTATTATGTACAACAAACATGACACGTTTATCTACAAAATGGCAGTTTCGATGCAGGAGGAGTGCTTGCAACATATGCAGGTAAAAAAAATAAGTTATATCAATCCATTGGTATTTTTGCAATTTTATTTTTATAATTTTAAAAAATTTGAAAACTCCGAGCAATTCAATATCAATTATACTCAATATTAATTTACGTGATATTTTTTATTCTGTCAATTAATACGCTTATTTAAAAGCTAGAGAAAATTTGTGTTGTATATGAATACTTTCGCATATCATTTATTTACTAATCTTTATAAACTAATTATTATTTGCTTTTAGATATTAGTGCAAGTAACGGGAGAAGGAACATTCCGAAGGGAGACTAGAACTGCCACGAGCAGTAGCAGTGAGACGACCGATAGCATCATTAAACGGAAACGAAGCCATATTACGCCAAGTCCTCACGACACCGATAATCCTCGTTCGAAAAAACGTAGAAAATCCGAAAACGATTAAATTGCATCAATGAGAACTGTATATATGGGATATAAAGATTTATATGTTAAACACACGCAAAAAAGAAAAATATGGAAGGCGAATCTAGAGCAGGTATAAAGCTTTAGCTTGCAAATTGTAGGCAGAATTGAAAGTATACATTACTATCGCCTATAAATATAGACAAAATCCAAAGCCTACAAAAAGTTTGTAATATAGTACTACTGTGTTAAAATAAAACCCAACTTTTATTTTATAAGGTCAGTTATAAAAGTATTATTTGCACCTAGCAGCTCTGACAACCGTAAAATAAATATTACGAAATCATTTCTATCTATTGAGTTTCTTTTTTTCCATATCTTTAGATAATAAAAATAATTAACATCAAATATATAAGTATTAAATACATTTTTTTGTTGTCAAAGAAATTAATTCTATAGAAATTTTTATTTCTCATAAACGTATGACAGAAAAGCACATGAAAAAATTGTAAACTTGTGTTATAACAATAACCTGATATAAATGCCACAAGTAACGAAAAAAACACTACACATCTTATTCTCCTGCAACTTTTAATTGATTGACCATCACAATTATAATAAAAATTCACTAGTATATTAAAGTAACAACTACAAGTTGGGATATTACATTTCAAATTTTATTACATTTCGCGAGTTATATATGTGTGTAAAATAAAATGGGTTACTATCGCGCTTGGGGAGATATGAAGATGATGTGTAGTTCTGAAGAAGAGGGTTATGAAAATCGTGTTCTTGAGGCTAGAGAAAAGAGAAGAGGCTATGCTTCGAGCACTTTTGGAGAAGTAAGTAAAGTACAGTAGAAACAAACATGTGGCATAACTTGAAGTTGAGAAAACGCCAATATTAAAGTGTTGAATTTTTCTAATCAATCAATATTATGGATATTACACGTTATATCATCTAATCAAATATAAATTTAAAACTTAGAATTTGTCTCAATATGCATATTTTTGACAAGGACAATGGCTAAAATTAGTTTATTAAAAATTTAATATATTAGCTTTTTCAAGATTTAATTATACGGCGTTTATGGGGGAGATAAAAGACACAACATACATATTACAATCGTATTTAAAGCCCTCCGTTCCAATTCTATCGATATCGATCGACGATACCGATCAGCAATTTTGGGCTGAGGATGAATTGAGCAACTCGGAATCACGACAGAGATTGACTTCGAGAAGGAAGCGTCGGCATAGTATTTCCTATAGGAATCGTAGGAACAGAAGCCGATCCTATATACATGTTCCTCATTCTTTAAATTCCAGCTCTGATTCAACTTGTGCAAAGACATCGCTTCAAAGTACACTTGTTCTTTCAAATTATTTTGTTAAAATATTTTATCAGATTCTTCTATCGACTAGATATGCTTATTTTATAAATACAATTCTCTTCAGTTCACAGAAAACGAAGATGTCAATGTCAATGTCAGTTGAAGAAATTACAATTCATGAATTCAGAAGAGGCATCAGGTACAAGTATCAAAGGAACGACAATAAATAAAGTAGTTTTTCCAGAATGTCAAATTGCATCTACTTCTGGCCAAAAATCCACCAATTCCTATCCTGATAATCATCAGGCGGGCCTGTCGTCTATAAATCATCGTGAACAAACCGACGATACGATAAGAAGGGTCCGAAAAATCAGATTAAAAAAAATCCGTGATTCGCCTAAGTATTAACGAAGGTAAAACTTTTACAATATTCTAGTGATTGCCACCGATAAACTTTTTTTTACAAAGAAAGTTAATTTCAAAATATGTAATATTATAAATCAATAATATTTCTCTTCATAATTTTTTTTCTAAGATGTTTTTTATATAGATATTTTTTATAAAACATTTAAAAAGTTGGATATTTATTGTTTATTTATACTTACAGAAAGTTGTCTTCAAATTAATCAATTTGTGATGATTAATTCAATATCGCGATGATTCATTTTATTTCGTAGTTTTGTCCAAATTTTGTAATATTTATATCTTATTTATTTCTCAATTTACGTTGCGTTGCAAAGAGCGAGGTGCTACGAATAGCAGAGTCAGCCCTTTTTCGTTATGTTCGCCGCAGTCAGCATTTGCAACGTGAGGCGGAAGTTCGATTATGTGTACTATCAATTGTTCACTGATACGCAAAAAGAACGGCGGATAAGCGTGTGATATTTACGACGTTTGAATAAATCGTAATAAACTGTAGGAATCTCCTCGACGACAATGAATTACTTCGCGAGCAACAACTGGAACAAAAATCAGTATCAGAACTTGAATGATGCTCGCGTACGAAGCAGTAAGTTGACATTCAAACTAAATCTTGTCAGAAAGAACGTGAGACAAAAATCACGCTTTGCTTACTTTGAACCTTGAACAAATTACGTTTTGTGCAACATTTTCTCCATTCTCGGAGCGTACTTTACATATTACATCGTTGACATAATACATCCTCCTGTCAACGAAACGCCATCTTTGCCCCGGGAAACTCACGTGATAATATTTTGATTTGTACATGGTTGATTCTCAAATGATCTATTTAATAATCTTGTATTTCTTTTTAATAAATTTATAGGACATATTTGACTTTAAATTGAATTTATTGCAATAATTAATTTTGCTTTGCAATTTGTTAAAATTTTATCCAATCAATTTCAATCTTAATTTACTTTATTTTGGTAGAACAAATTTCCATTTCTAATTCACAATCGACAAACTCTGATATAGAATATTTTTATATTGCAGATTCGGTGGTGCGTTCTATTCTTTGTTGCACAATATTGGGCTTGTGCTCAACGCTATTAATACTCTCATTATGGAGCTCTAACATTCATATTCCGACAATTCGCACTCATGTGTTATATCTTGACAGACAGCAATCTCTTTTACATATCACTTCTGACAAATTCTTGTCATTTGGTCTCGATACATCCTTACTTCGGAATATGAATGAATTACCTGTTAAACAAAAGGAATTTATTAATTTGGCCCGTCACTTAAGTCCTGCTTATGTAAGAATAGGTGGAACTTCTGCAGACTGTCTAATATTTGATCAGAATCAGGTTAGTCTGTAAATGTTGGATTTTTTTAAGAATCTCCAAAAAAATCATTAACAGAATATTTTGTTTCTAAATAGTGGAATAATATTAATTATAAATATCTGCTTGTAGTTGCAATATTTATTTCTATCTTATATGTTTGATACTTTAGGTGGAACAAAACTCTCTCAGAAAAATATTAAGTCCTGTAGATGGCCAGGATATCAGCAATTTCACAATCTCTAGTGCAGATCTGCTTGCTGTCTATAATTTTGCAGCAAAATCTGAGTTACGAATGATTTTTGATCTGAATGTATTACTGAGAAACTCAGACGGATCCTGGAATGATACTAATGCACAAGAAATTATTATGTTTGCCAAAACTCAAGGCATGGAACTAGATTGGCAATTAGGAAATGGTAATAAGAAATATAAAGATTTAATACGCATAAAAAATAATTGTTAAAAATTGTTATTTTTTATACACATGCGCAATCTGGAATATTGATTTTGATATTTTCAGAACCAAATTCCTTTAAACATGTTTTTAATGTAACGATTTCTGCGATTCAACTCGCAAGGGATTATAATCGGTTGAGGCAATTGCTAGACGAAGCAGGATACATCAGCAGCATCCTCGTCGGACCGGAAGTGAATCACATTGGAGACACAAATCACAAAGGGGAAATATATGCTGAGACTTTCCTCGAAAGTCAAAAAAACATCGTAAATTATGTAACTTGGCATCAATATTATCTGAACGGACGAGAAGCTAAAGCCATAGATTTCGTGAATCCTCGCACATTTAATTGGTTACCGATGCAAATCAAGAGTATAGGAAACGTTGTTGCTGCATCTGCACAAAACGTTTCCATGTGGTTGTGTATGTGCATTACATTAGAGTCAGGAGTTTCTGCATTACGGATCAATATATTAAGAGATTACATTCAGTAAAGAATTTTGATTTACAGCAGAAACTAGCACTGCGTACGGCGGAGGAGCACCCGGATTGTCTGACAGATTTGTAGCCGGATTTTTATGGTTGGATAAATTGGGTTACAGCGCTAGTGCTGGATTAAACGTTGTCACGAGGCAATCATTGTTCGGCGGAGATTATGCTATGGTGTCGCCAAATCTCACACCGAACCCCGATTGGTGGGTCAGTGTCTTCTACAAGCAATTCGTATCGGAGAAGGTTCTAAAATTGCTCACACCCAACAACTTTGACTACGTACGGCTATACATGCATTGTACACCGAAAAAAGCTTTAATCGCCAGAGTGCCGGCTGTCACAATCTATGGAATGAATATTGATAAAATTGCGGTTCGCATCGATATTCCAGAGTTGATAGTACAGTCTAGTAAAATAGTGAAGATATTCTTTTACTCTTTGACTGCTGATTATTTTCAGTCAAGGTATGTAAAACTAAAAAAAAAAATCTATCTATTCTAATATAGTTATATTATGTGTATGTAATTTTTCAAGTTTTTGTTGTGTACTATCATTGACACACACATAAAAATTCAAGTAGCAGTATTTAATGTTTTATTAAGATAAAAATTAAGAATAGAGATCTGAGAGTTATTGTTTTATTCTACAGTGAAATAAAGTTGAATGGCGAAAGGTTAAAATTACAACAGAATGGAGATTTACCGCCATTTCGACCTAGGATACTGGATCCTACGGATCTTATAATCCTACCGCCGTATTCCATGGTCTTCATGATTATTCATGGCATCGAGGTTTCTGGCTGTTCGACATGAATGAAGAAAATGTGATACAAGTCAATTTTATGTGATTTACATTGTATATCTTTCTTATATATATTAAATATTTATATATTGTAACTTATATTACATATATATATATGTATATATATATTTTACAAACTCTTATCAACAAGTCGTTTACAAGCACGAATCTCCTTTATATAAGGATCCTATTTCAATTGGGAATGTATTTTCTTATTACGTAATAATTTTCAATTTATGATTTGTTTTACTATCATTTTAGAAATAATAAATATTACAATGTGCTTTACAAATAGTAACAGTCAATGGCATTACACGCAACTATTCTTGCGATATTGGATTCCAATAGCTACACAGTTTTGTTCTACTGACGATGCACATTACACTTTTCTTATTTTTTGTTTACATATTTTCTATCTTTATTTAGCAAACATATCATGCTGCCTTTATTTATTTAAACTTTATAATCTTTCTTATTTATAAATATCGAAAAGAATAAAGGTAATACACAACGAAATGATATTTATACATCGAAAAAAGAGCTCTTATGTAATGAGTAGAGCCCGGATTTCGTAGAAGTTCTCAGATCGAGCAACCGTAGCTAGTCCTCCCCACCATGTCGCGCTCGTCGAGCGGGTCGAAGTGAAGCGAGCTGTGAGGAACTCGCTACGGTCGACTCAAAATGGTACGTCGGCCGGCGGAAAACCCGGGCTCTAGTAATGAGACTAGCATTGTCATCACTCAATACTCCTTCAGTTTCTGTAAAAAATGTGCAACACTCGAATCGAGGGAATAAAACATCTAGGGGGTAATCATTAATGCAAACATTGACATGATACATTATAATACAATACTATCTGTAATGATGGATTTTGCACGAATACTTGATACCTATAATTGTATTGTGAACCTCAATTATTATCGTTTTACTACTCTACTCTGCAGCAGAGATTGTGATGGTCTTTCCCTTAGGATCATCAAATCTATCCATTGTACGAATATCCATAATCATAGTGAGTGCCCATATCATAATTAAGGCTAATATTGCAGTCACGAATATTCCAGTCCAAATCGGTATGCTGGTGAAACCAACGCAGTCATATGCATCGTCGAATACCGCGTTTTTAGCATCGACTTGAACTTGCATATCTGAGATGTTCAAGTGTACAGTATTGTTAATGAAGACAGTGTTCAAAGAACAATGATAAGAGAAGTTGTACGGGAAGTAAATATCTTTTTTAGCAAATAGAGTATCCCTTGCGTTGTTTGTTTCAAAATTGACTTTTTCCATTGTGTAATAGCCCCTACTTTTGACTGGGAAGAAAATGTCAAGCGACAAATCGCCAATGTTTTCAATACCAGAAAGCTTGATGTTCAAGATCAGTGTACCATTCACCTTCCGAGTCGACGTTGCAGTCACTTTAGATCCAGGAAGTTCCACGGACTTTTCCGACTTCGGTGCCTACAATTTTTGATAAGTTTTTCTCTTTTTATTGCTTCTTTAATGTCTCAAAAAAATTTTTTTTTTATTTTAAATTTGTTTCAAGATTTTTTGCATATTTAAACTGAACAACCATCTCACCTTGAATGTTGGTGATGTGCTGGCATATAGAATGACTCTGTCTGTTTTTATTTTAAATTCTGTAGAATTTTCTTTAGCAGTATCCCTTTTTATGCGTTCAGTTTGACTGTAACGACATTGTTTTCCTGCAAGTGCTATACATGCATTTGAATCTGAATCCTTTAGAGCCATGTTTAATTGATCATCACTTAGATCTTCTATTATTCTCATCTGTTCGTCGTTAAAAACTTTTTGAAAGACTGCATCTGGCGTATGAACACATGGGAAATAGTGTATTTCAGAGCCATTAGTGACAACTGACAGTACCTATAATATTCAAATAGCAATGTTATTATATAATTTTTGGAAGTGAATAATTGATATTTGCGCTATGTACTTAATTGAAATAAGATGGAAACATAGGATACGCTAATAAAACACATTTAATACAATATATTTAAAACATATTTAAAACAATATTATATCAATATGTAACATGATAAATGTCAAATATAGTTTATTCATTAAGCTTTACATTTTTTCTTTTCCTTCATCAACTATATTCTGTGTCCTTCTTTACATTTTTTATTTTAGCTTTTTAAAACGTGCAGAAATTACAGAAAAACAGTCTAAAAGAGAAGTCTTTTTTGAATTGGTGACTATCAAATTAACCTTGTTGTTCTTCAAATCCTCGATACACAATTCATCGGCGACAAGTATCGTTGGTTTCGTTAGTCTCATTTGTGACAGGCTCCTCTCAAAGTCCTCCGAAGACAGTTGAAACAGCGGATTTGGAGGCGGAGTCGTTTTGTATGTCGAATCGTAATCGGATGATTCGTTGTGCGGGCACCATATCACGACGGGCGTACCGCCGGCACGGGAAAATGTAAATTGACAGGCGACAATCAATACGAGAAACGATATAGGAACGAGGCTCGATTTTTTTATACTATTCGTCATCGTGAAGACGAAAAGAAAAGGGCCGAATGAATACAACTATACTGATCGCAAGCACCACACCAGGCGTACTTCAGAGCACCTGACTGCCCGCGATCATATGACACATGTCACGTGGCCGATGCACTTCCGGATTTCGAAAGAGCGCCCTGTATTTCATTAGAGCGCACAATTTTATTGTCAGAGTGTTGCATAAAATAATAATATTATCTTTTACTTTTTAATTTTTAATTTTTTTTTTTCGTGACGTCGATACGAACCGTGTTTCGATCAAGACCATGCGAGTGATTCGCATTACAGCTCACTGTGATTGGTCGATTTGCTTGCACCTTAAGGTTACGCCTAAAACTTTTTTATGTGTACAGGCCATCATTTCCGATATACACTGCCACGATAAAATTATACACCAATCGTAAACGATTGTATAAAAAAGGTTGCAAACGTGACTATTCTGGAACCAAATATTTAGCTGAGTTAGTAGTCTAGTTATAACAAAGATGTCTATGACTGTGAGATCGAGGTTCTGCTGCTTTCGCGTATAGCCACACTAGCATGATGTGGTTGAATGTGATATAATGGCGACGCCGACTAATAGTAACGGTAACCTCGTTGACGAATTCGAAGAAGCATTTCAGGTAAAATATTCGATTTTATCACTTAGACATTGCATCTAACTATTATTCTAAGTATTCTTTTAACATATAACATGATCAAAGAAATATAATCAAGAATATTTTTACTCCAAATAATTTTAAGACATCTGATTCGATATTTTAAATTTTTTAATAAAAAATGATAATAATAATACTAAGGCTCCACTAAATTAACAAATAATCTTGGGAGAAAAAGGCAAACAGAGCCGTTGCTAATTGTTCGTGCAAAAATTATATATTATAAAATTCCAAAGACAAACGTTTCTACCTATGTTAGGCCTTCTTCAGTGCCAGATCAAAATTATAATAAACGGTATCACAAGTATCTAAGCGTCTTATAAACAAATAAGAGTCTATTATTAAAACTGTCTATTATTAATATATAGTAAAACTAAGCTGGATGGTTAAAATGGTAATTATTATCATTTTAACCATCCGACTTAGTTTTACTATGTATTCAATTTTAATCATGGATTCTTCAGTTTTTAAGAAATTCTCCATGAATTTTAAAGACATTTTGTTGAATAATGTTAGTCTCTGGCTCTTCCATGGTTTTTTATTGAATATATAGTTTCGGCTTATAATAACAATGCCAATTATCAATCTTTCTATATGGAAGTAAGTTTTAATTGAAATTATTTGTCATGAAGAATATTTGCGTATATCGTCTTATTTGTAAGACACTTCAACACTTGTGATACCGTTTATTATTTTTATTTGTAACGACACCGAGGAAGGCTTAACACAGGCAGAAATATTTGTCTTTGGAATTTTATAATATAATATAATTTTTGCACGAGCAATGGCTCTTTTTGCCTTTTTCTCCCAAGATTATTTGTTAAAAATGATATTGACATTATGGATAAAAAATAGCAACTAGTTCTGTTATAATTATTCTGTAAGTTTTGCTAAACTTATTTAAAGAGCAAAAAAGGCAATAAGAACCAAAAGAACGTAGATGTTTTTATGGATATAATCTAGATTGTCTAATCTATTGAATAATATTTTTAATTATCGTTTTCAGCAATGTTTAAGCATATTGACAAAGGACGAAGGTTTAGGCAACAATGGGACTGGCGCGTCTGGAGGTTTGACAGTGGATAAAGATGAAGGCCGCGCAGAAATGGAACAAGCCACTATGAGGTTTGTAGACCTAGCCAGGCAGATGGAAGCCTTTTTTCTGCAAAAGCGATTCCTGCTGTCCGCACTGAAGCCTGAGCTAGTTGTTAAAGAGGAAATTCAAGAATTAAAAATAGAATTGGCCCGCAAAGAAGAGCTCATAAAAAGGCATAATGAGAAAATCGCTGTTTGGCAAAATATGTTGTCAGACTTACAAGGATGGGCACAGTCCCCTGCTCAAGGACCAGCACCCAGTGGTAAGTACATATTTTAATGTTCTTATTGCAATAAGACATTCAAATAACGTCAATATTGTTGATAATAGGATTACCCAATGCAAATCAAAGCGGACAGAACCAGCAGGCTGCAGGTGGCAGTAGTAATGCTTCAATACAGCAACAGCAAATGTTGCAGCATCAGCAGCAATTGCAACAACAATTGCAGCAGCAGCAGCAACAGCAGCAGCAGCACCCACAACTGCAGCAACAATTGCAGCATCCATTGCAACAACAGGTATTTAAATAATACCGTTACGATAAAAATTGAAGTTTTACCATCTTCAAATAGATTGTTGAAAAATTTTATGCTAAATTACTAAAAGTACACTTTTTTCGAATTCAAAACAAAAAAAGAGCAAAAAACGTCACAAAATAAGGAAGAGTGAGGTACAATCATCCTTTTTTCTCTTTTAATATAGAAAAAGAAATAGCTGGAGATGAGAGTATAATTATTGTTGCATATAAATTAACACTGTAACTGAGTTTAGTTACATACTTACATATCTATGTATTTTAATAAATAATGTAAATAATTTACATTAAGTATAAAAAATAATTTTTTATTTAATTATTAAATATATCAGATTGTTTTATTATTTATTATGGATACTATCAAATAATATCTAGACACATTTGAATTGTTATGTTCCTAGAGATGTAAATTTCTTTGAATTATTTGATAAAATTTTAAAGCCTTGAATTAATAATGAATTATTGAAATATTTAATAAAAGAAAAGTCGAAAATAAAATTCTTATATATTTATATAAAATTTATGACTGAAAAATTGACACTAATTTTTTTAGAAACTTTTTACTATATAAGAAGTCATTGATTTGTAATGGGATATTCAGATTTATACTTCTTTAATATGTTGAGTAATTACGCTAATCTATTTACAAAGCTACATCAGTTGCAATAAATTTCTTGCCTTTTCTCTTTTTTCATGTTTTCCTTAAAAAATTGTAAAACGCGAAAAAGTTTATTAGTATTTGTATGAACTATATTGATTTTCTTGAATAGAATTACTATTGGCTAGTCTTTGTAATTGTGTTTTTTACGTAATCGCATTATGTGCAAATGGAAAATTTAGGATATGAGATTTAGAAATAAAACTTGCAATATGAATTATTGCAATAAAATTAAATAGTAAAATAAGAAGTCTGATTGTACTCTATTCTTCTTTAAATGAAGTTTTCGTTTCACTATAGAATATAAAATGAATGAACCATTGGATAGTCATAATTAATGCACAATATTGAAATAGTTCATAGTAATGGAACTAGATGATGATGATAAGAAGGATGATAAGGATAAGGATAAGGATAAGGATGAGAATGAGGATAAGGATAAGGATGAGGATGAGGATAAGGATAAGAATAAGAATAAGAATAAGGATAAGGATAAGGATAAGGATAAGGATGAGGATGAGGTTGAGATTGAGATTGTGGATGAGATTGAGATTGTGGATGAGATTGAGATTGTGGATGAGATTAAGATTGTGGATGAGAATGAGGATGAGAATGAGATTGAGATTATGGATGTGGATGAGGATGAGGATGAGGATGAGGATGAGGATGAGATTGAGATTGAGATTATGGATGTGGATGATAATGATAATGATAATGATAATGATAATTATGATGATGGTGATAATAATTATGATGATGGTGAATGAAGCTGATTGGGTGGTTGATTCAATGCCAGAAGGTTTAGAGAAATTAATTGAGTTTTTAATTAGAGGAATTGGCACTATGGCAAATTATGGCAATTGACAAAAATGTAATTCATATGTTAACTAGAAGAGAAAAGATAATCTAAAAAATTTACAGAGAATAATTTTTTTCCAAAAGTCTTGTCATTTCAGTCATAGATTTGTTGGATTATTCGAATAATTTATTTGTTTTGAGATTTTAATTTAATTTAAGCTTATTTTCATACTATACAGTCATAATATCATAATTAACGTTACGAGACCAAAATTTTAATAATTGTGTTCTCTTACTACTTTTTATCATAATAATATATTTATTGTTACATTTTCGTTTGCCTGTTATTCATTGCATTCGAGTAGTGATGGAATTCAAATAGTCTCAAGACATCTTGAGTTAAAGGCTGAAAATTAAGAAGTCTCAAAACATCTTACAAACTATTGATGATTAAGTCTTGAATATTTATATATACACATACATATATCATACATGTGTGTGTGCGTGTGTGCACGTGCATGCGTATATGTATATTATTGAAAATATTTCACACATTCAGGATATTCAAACTTTCAAGATTTTCAATTATAACAGTCTTGCAAGATGTTTTGTAACTTTTGATTTTCGATCATTCTCAATTTGCTTAAAAATTTGCAAATAAGAATCTTGAAATTCCATTACTTCAAGATGTGTGATTGTACATATGCGAGTGTATGCGATGGGTATGCACGAAGATGTGTGTGTGTGTGTGTGTGTGTGTGTGCGCGCGCGCGTGTGTTGTGTGTGTTTGCTTGCAAAATTGTATCTATACGCGAGAATCATATATTATTAAACAAATTCTTTCCGTTTTGATTGAAATGCTAGAACACAGAGAATGTTTCTCCTTTTTTTTCGAGAACTGAAGAGACGAGGTAACTAGTTCTGTTTTTCTTTCATATAAGAGATAATGCGTATAATATATCAGTGCCTTAATTCCTATTCAAACATAGAAATGTATCATATATAAAAGAGAACAGAAGTGCTTTTACGATTAGCTGCGATATAGGAATACATAAAAAAAATATGAATTTTACTTTAGAAGGAAAGAGTATCGAAGAATTAGTTGTACACGTGCAAAAAACTGTTGTAAGATAGTGCCAAAACAATGAATACGAAAATATGTACAAATAATTAGCCAAAAACAAAAAAAGAAACAGAAGAAGAAGTGTAATAAATCTGGTACGGCAATAATGATAAAGCTTAGGAATATTCGTAAGTTGTATGCTTCGTGTGTTAACACAAAGGTCTAAATAATTATTCTCACACGAAAAGACTCGAAAAGACTTGAACTGATATGTATAAGTTTAAATGTATACGGTGATAGGTGATATTTTTAGACATTTGACGCGCTTTCGTAAGGAAGATTTTTATATAGAGACGTAACAAAACGACGTACGCATAGACGTTATTTCTTTCATCTTATTTTTTTACATTTTTTTTTCTTATGGATGAGAGACATGTTTCTTCGCGTCATCTCTGTATTCATAAAGGAAATTATATATGAGCATAAGACGTTCCTCTCTGCATGTAGATATTGTATGCATGCCTACATATATATACTGTTACACAAATTGAATTCTGCCTACGAAAATCAGTGACGAAATATTGTTATTTGTAAATTAGGATAACTACTATCAAAGTTCCTTCTGTGCAAATAGTTTTACAATTCTTGTGAATATAAAGATATATATTTCGTAATAAATTTAGATGATAAATATGGTGATATAAAGTATTTAAATCGTAAGTACAGAATAACGCAAGGAGAAGCATTATAGCCATTGCAATTTGAAAAATAATGTTTTACTTATGTTGTCTTTACTCACCAGTAGATATTGCCGCAGAATAAATATCTCTGTTCATCGCAAAAAAACAACCATTGTGCTTTCTTTCATTGCCCTTGCCTACTTGTCGTCATTCCCTGACAGATCCGACATATCTCTCTGACAGATTCTCGTCATTTTCGTCATTCTCGTCACTCTCGTCTGCGCGTGTCTATCTTTCTGAATGTATGCATGCATGTGGAGTATATTTTTGGGATACTTTAGCTGTTTCGGGAGAGTAACGGAGTAGTCTGCAGTATTGTTTTTTCTTTCAAGAGAGTGTAGAAACTTATCTCAGTTATCTCTCTGTGGTAGATCTTTTCGCTACATTCATATATACATGTATCAGAGGAAACATCCTGATCGCGTCCTCTTTTACTAGTCTTCATCATGTATCCTTATTTGGTGTAACTTTGCAGGTGCAACAGGGCACAGGTGGTCCGCCGACATCAGGTCTTCAAGGAGTCGGTGTGCCGGTCAATCAGCAGGGCATGTTCATGGCGCAGGGTGTCGCCGGTGGCAGAGCCACCGGATTCCCGGTAGGCGGTATGGGTAGCAGCGCCCTGCAAGGACCCTTGGCTTATCTGGAAAAAACAACGAGCAACATAGGGATGCCAGAGAGGCGGAGTTGACGCGGAAGGGGGAGGGGCCGGGGCCGGGGTCGTGGAAGAGGCCGAGGTAGAGGAAGAGGCGGTGGTGGCAGCGGTCTACCGCCACCACCACCACTTCTCGATCCCTCAGACCCGTCGTCGTATGCTGCTGCCGCCGCAGTTGCAGCCGCCGCGGCGGCGCCCCTTCCCTCTCCGCAACAGCAGCCTCCCCCGCCTTGCTCATAAATGTAACGTGGTGATCTCGATTTCTTCTTCTTGGAGAAAGAGACTACACTTGCAGCTTCCAAGGTCGAGTGCATCACTTCGTTAAAAGCTTACGTTTAAGCTTATAGACCTGAATGTACTGTGTGTCAGTGATGGTAGTGGAAAGGATTCAAGTCGACGTGGTGATACGCGTCGCATTATGAAGTTGTGATTACTTTGTATAAATGTAGCATCGAACATTTACGAAGTGATGGAGCCCTTAAATGACAAAAAACAGTATTTCAACAGTGCCAGTTCGGATCGACGTTTACAACCGTACGAACATTGTAACTCTGTACGTTGTCTTGTATGTTGTATGAATGTTTCATTCTGTACTAGTCCTGGAAATAGTGGTAAAATAGTGGTTAGCTCACGTGAAGCGCGCAGATAGTTGTGAAATAGAATAAGCTTTTTGTAATTACAGGTGGAGATAAGAGAACTGTACATAACGAGATTACGTGCGATGCAAGCAACGTGATATAACTTTTACTCGTACATAGAAATAAGAACGATACCTATCTCTTCCTCCTATGCCTTTCTTTATACCGCATTATAATTTGCAATATATTAACGTTCCGAGGTTGTGTCGACATTTTTATAATAAACTGCGTTTATCGTTTTTTACAGTGCCTTTGAATGCCTATCAAGAGTACTGTTTGTGCGACACGAATCAAATGTACATTGCCTAATGCATTGTGCAAAATTAAAATTTGTATTACGCACATTGATTACGCTAGATTAGTATAAGCATCCATTGTCGTGGAATATTTTGCACGAACTTTAAATATTTAATTAATTTGTCCATTCTTGTATAAATTTTAAATCTTTATAATTAATTCTTTATAATGGAATTATATGCGTGTGTAACTAATGTACACATATGCATTAAAATATGGAGACTATTTTCTCGTTAAAAATTTACTTATAATAGTATAATTTGTTTGTGTTATGCGCTGTTGGAATAAATTTTGCATCTATTAACACGATATGTTCTATGAAAGCATTGTCATGTGATGTTAAAATAATTTTATGACACAATGCATATTGTAGAGAACAAAGCTCTATATATAAATTTTAATTATGTATATTTAATTAGTATAAAGTACTCGGAAGATCGCGTAAGACGGCAATAAATTAATTTTATGTAGATGAATATAATCATCTTTTTATTTATATTAATGGATGACTTACGTATTATGCTTTTTTTACAAATTCCAAGATAAAGTGCTTATACTATTCATTACTTTTAGATATTATGTATTCATACAGATATAATGTAACTCATTTTTATTCTATACAATACTTGTTGTATGCACTGTAGTATAAAGTTGATATATATAAATATCAATTAAAGCGTGCTTTCTTATTTTTATTATTTCTAGTTTAAGATCATGGTAAAGTCCTCGAAAATATTTACTGAAATAGCTCAGCTTTACACATACAGATAGTTTGATAGTTTGATAAAATTATAAGCGTGTATAAAACTTATTTTTAAAACATCTATCATAGTTGTAGTTCATTTTTATAGCCAATCAAATATAATAATCACATGTGTAAAATGGGATTATTATTATAGTTTGATCAATTTGTAAAAGAAATGTCTCATTTTTATATATAAGAATAATATCTAATAAAGGAAAGATTTTTAGTTAATAATTAGATTTCCTTTTTGAAAAATGAGATAAAAATTAGCTGCTAGATTTATAAAAAGTTTGGAATCTTAAAATAATTTTATAACAAATTTTACAAACATTTTTATACATGTCCATCGTACTCATGTATGCTTTTTGTTATCTGCAAAAGATTTGTAGATAACAAAAGGTATAATTACATAGTGTTGCAAGCGATAATTTTAGATGCCAGAGGATTTTGTTAAAAGAAAGGCAGGGAAGTAAACCGAATGTATATATAAACCGTCCCTTGTTTTTTTTAAACAAGAATTATGGAATCAAATTTCGTGGAACAGGATGCATTCGGAGATGCTTAAATTCGACAGATGTGAAAATTGTTGAAATAAAATGAGCAGTTCATCCAAATATTACAAGACATTCTATTTCAAATATTTTTTATCGCATGTATACACATTACTTGCAGAGTATATATTTTAAATATACAGGAAATGCGTGGTAACTTAGAAAATATAGGCAGTGTCTAATATGTTGAGGTACAATAGTTTTATTTGAGAAGTTTGAATAATTATTATGCATTTTAACCATTTCTCTGTGAATTTATTTCATCAACGAGACTTCAAAAAAATGTTAATTTTTTTCTTACTACCAACGAGTATACTCGGGCAAGTAAGTGGTCAGGGAAGTTAATCTACAAAATAAAACAGTCATAAACAGTTAAAATTAGATATAATTAAAACTTCAAAATAAAAAATTAAAACGAGACTAAGACTTCTGTCCAATACAATCCTCTCCATATTAGGCGCAATTCTCCTGTGTAATGTGTATCTCTATATACATATGTTTTATGTGTATAAACTCTTATGTGTATACACGTTCATTTTATAATTATTATACTTATATATATGATATTACAAAACCCACCCGAAAAATATAATTACGAAAAGATGTGCAAATTATGTATAGTGACCATTGCTGCTTAAGACATCTGTAAAAATTGTATAAGCGTACGTGTCGGACGTCCAGTCATTCCAGCTGGGATATACGGTAACTCATCGTGAGCGGGACCCATGACACCAGCTATATCCAAATGCATCCACGATACATCCTTGGGGACGAATTCCCTCAAGAAAGCAGCGGCAGTGCAAGAGCCACCACCTTTGCATTTTGCGATGTTGTTTAAATCGGCACCTTTGACTTTTTCTGAAAATTACAATGAAATAATTAATTTAAGGGCTTAAAAAAAGTGACAGCACAACGTTATGTCGGAATTTATAAAGGAAGGACCATCTTCTAATTTATACAATAATTCACGCAAAAGTGTGAGGCAAATAATGGATATAATGTTGAATAACTTAATGTTGAAACACTTACTCGTCACTTCATCAGTGAAGTGTTGCCACAGAGGGAATCTCCATACTCGATCACCGGTTATCGCGCCAGCATTTCTTAGAGTTTCATAAAGATTGCTATCATTGGTGAATACTCCAGTTGCAGAATTTGACAATGCGACTCTCATGGCACCGGTCAATGTAGCGATATCCAGAATAAATCTATTTGGATTAGAGATTTATTAATCTACAATCGTTTGCAACAAGTTGTGTGCTGTGCATTTTTCTCTAAAAACTGATTTTTCTCATGAGTTAGATTCTTTTCAAAAAGAATTACATATAAATATTAAATTTCTTTGAAGATTGACACTAAATTAAATAAAATTAATAAAATCCAACAATTTTCTAACAGATTTCTAATGTTAAGTGCCACTGCTAACATAATTTGTGCTAAACGTTGTTATAAGACAAATAAGAATTACGAAAAGTACCTCGGATTAAATTCTTGCGCGTAGCAAAGGGCGTCAGCGAGAATCAATCTGCCTTCCGCATCGGTATTGTCCACAATGATAGTTTTGCCGTTCATCGCTCGCACCACGTCTCCCGGCTTCGTGGCCAGTCCGGACGGCAGATTCTCCGTGAGCGGGATCAATCCAATGATATTTTTCTTGATTTTCAGTTCCGCTGCGGCTCGGATGGTGGCTGCCACGCAAGCGGCGCCGCTCATATCGGCACGCATTTCGTCCATTTCTGACGACGGCTGCGAGTAACATTTTTTTTTCTTTCTGTTTTCATGTCTTTTTTTCCCCCTTTACATCGTCTTTAGAGACGTGAAATGACTTACCTTAAGGCTGATGCCACCGGCATCGAAAGTGACTCCCTTGCCTACAAACGTCAACGGTGGTTCGTTAGAGTTCTCGGCACCTTTGTAATTGATTTCAAGGAATTTGGGCGGCTCGATGCTACCACGCGCCACGCTAAGAAACGAGCCCATTTTCTTCTGCTCGGCCCATTTCCTGTCACGCACCTGAACATCGACTCCGAGATGTGTCAGAACTTCGGAGACCCGTTGTGAGAATATCGTGGGCGTCATCAGATTCGCGGGCGTATCCGCGAGCTCACGGGCCCAATTCTGTGCCTTGGCTTTGACAATACCCGCTCGCCATTCTGCCCTTAAAAAAAAATCGACAGATTATAATTTCATATAATAGTAACTCGAAGTCAAGATTTTCCATCGCAGTAAATGTTTTGCGCCGAGACGAGAATAAGGAATCACTACTTACTCTCCTTCTTCTCCATACAAAGAGATCTTTGGTAACTTCTTTCTTTTCTCTTCATTTTTGTATCCTTGATAAAGCCATGTCGACAGACCAGCACCTTCGGCAGCAGCTTCCGCGTCACCCAGAGTTTCCAGCTTAATATCCTTTATCTCAACATCGTCCAATGCACGACATCCCGCTAAAATAATATATAAAATATTATTGAATATTTGTTATTAATATTCAAATGTTTCAAAAACCTCTTTCAAAGTACGATTTGAGGAGGAAAGATTTGAACAACACACAGAATGGAATATGATTATTTTTTTATAATTCATAATATATAATAAGAGAAATTGTTAATAAAAGAAATTACCTGCTGCAGCAGCACGCACGTTTTCCTTTCCTTCGTGGATTTCTTCAAGTTTGTTGATAACAAGACCTTGCTTTCCCAAGCCAACTACTGCGACTCCACTGTAATCTGTTTCATCCAAACCCCAAAACACTCTAGCATGACCTTTAGGTATCTTTGGTCCCGCTCTGTAGCGTAAAAATTCATTCAAAGTTAGTGAAAAAGTGACAATTGTGACCGATTGTGACAATTTATAAGAAACAATGCACGACAACAATATATGTAACAGACAGTTTCAGACACAAAATCGTAAATTTATTAATTACAGAAATCTAGACATTTTTTTGACACTCATCATGTACGATATAGTAATTTGTAATTTTAAAATACATTCTAAAAATATACTATTTTTTATTCTAGAATATTCCTTTCCGGTACAGTTACATACACACACATGAACGTGCAATGTGTGTATATAGCTCGGTACATTTACAATAATTCTCTTCAAAGATTATAGCTACACATTAATTCACAACTGCTATTGTTCTCTCGGTCTACAGTATCGGCGTTGATACATTTACAGATAGCTGTTTTACATTCAGTTCTTACTAATAATTTAAATTCACGAGTGCGCGCGCGCGCGCGTTACAACCTATTTAAGTGATTTAAGATATAATACAATGCAATTTCTGTTGATAAAGTTCACAAATATCAGTTTTTTTTTTTTTATATACAGCAATGTTATAAGCAGCAATGCGATTTTGTTATAGGCATATAATTGGCATAGTTTTACAATAATTTAAAATAACGAAAAACGGATTTACATTATATTTTTTTAGGAAACAAAAAATAATGAACGTTAACGCTTACGGCAGAAAATAGTTTTGTAAAAAAAATTTAAATACAACTCACTGTTCTACTAGTTTTATATTCCAAGAATCCTACACGATTTTTATATATAATCTTTACCACACATTTCTTCTTTTATATTTGCCTTTTGTACATTTTGGCACACGTCAGAAACGTTTTGTTTTGCAACATTCATATAGAGGAACAATTCATGTTATTTTAATTCGTGTAATTTTAAGTTAGGCTCACAGCAAATTTTTTAATAGTATAGTAACGATAATATTAACGTTGATCTAAAAACTTTTTGATATAAACTATTAATATTAACTATCAATATAAAAACTTTTAAACGCAATTAAAAAAATATCCAGCTGCAAATCATATGATTTTAATGTGTTATCTGTTTGTACAATTATCACAAAAACAAATATTTGTCAACTATTGATTACACCTTATCACATGTTTGTTTGCGAAGTTGCGATATTATCAAGTCATTTTCGACAATAATGCATTGCAAAAAGATTTTTAAGTAGGATTTTTGTCATCAAAATATGTGTTGTTATTAAACATATATTGTTTTTTATATGTTATCGAATACACATTTTATATTATAATTAATTAAAATAAATTGAATCGTGATTTTTTTAACACGTAAAAATTATTAAAAAATACACATTTAAACACACATACACACATACACACATACACACACGCACACATGCACACATATTCTTATATACATTTTTTAAAATGAAACGCTTCTTCCAAACTATTGCGTAGTTATTGAATGAATTTCACTTTCATGCCGATCATCTAAAAATATCTATTTGCACAAATTACAGTTTTAACAAGCATATTTCTGGCAAAGTTAAGTATCAGCAACTTAATATAAAATTTATTTTTAAAAATCATTTTATAATACCGTACGTAATACGTAATACGTAAATACGTAAAATTATCGTATGCAGAAACATCTTTTATATATGATTCAACAATACAAAATGTTTATATCATTTATTACAATTCAGTCTATACTTAGAATTATACTCAAATTAGATTAGAAAACAGGTTTAAGATACGCAAAAATAATTAACTATACCAATTTCCCCAATTATACTTATAAATTATGTACAATCCAGAGAAAATATTTGTGTTCTCTGGTTGATTGAGCATAGATTAATTGGAGATCTCCACCTGCAATAATGGTTGATGATATGATCTACCTATTTTCACCATCATTGTCATTCAATTTAGATTCCGTTGCGTTAGAAATTTTTTTTGCGTAGCATTATATTATATTACACTAAATTTAGAATAGCTCCATTGTTTCTCGTTGTTACTCACACTCACAAACTAATCACAAGTCACAAAGCCATAAAATAAAAAGGGTCCTAATATACTAAGTATATGAATATAAGATAGAAAAAAACTAATATTCGCACATTATTAATTTTGTTTCAATTTTTCTCCAAGCATTGCTGTAATTCTTAAATTGTTCTTCTAAAATATAATTTCTTTCATATTATACAATTTCCTTATTTCTAGATTCCGGTCTTTTTTATTATACAGACCCTTTTTAATTTACGGTGATCAAATGTATGCTTTACTCACGATTTGTCGTTCGTCACAATTTTTAATTATTTTATTTGTAATTGTCTTAAATTAATAATTCTAATAAAGTTCTAATATTTTAATAATTCCTTGAGAATTAGCAGCTACCACAACGTTGGACATTTGCCTCCAGCATACCGCAGACACGAACTCGTTCAGATCCTCCTCTCTCCTGTCTTGCAACTCCAATATACTTCGCACAGCATCAAATTTATATGAGAACAACTGTTTCGTCAGTCCTTTATAATAGACGTATAACGCATTATTTTCAGAACCGCAAGCAACGTAATCGCCATCAGTGGCGAGGCCGACAAAGTTCTTTTCATTTACGTGTCCTACGAAAGATCGCAGACAGAGCGGGTTGTTGATGTTCCACATTTTCAATTGAGAATCCGTACTTGCCGACACAATTTCTTCTTTATTGATAAATTTAACGTAGGAGACGGCTTTACGATGTCCTTTGAATACACACAACGCCTCCTTCATGTTACGCAAATCGTAATAGTGCACACAGTGATCAGCAGAGCCAAACGCCAGGTGACACGAGCTGCGCGGATTGAATTTCACACAGCATACGTTCGCCTTCGCCTCCAACGATGCTACAGAATAATCGGTGTTCAATGCCCACAATTTTACTCGAGCGTCATCGGAGCCGGATGCGATCAATCTAGTGTCCACGTCGTTGAAATCGACGGACCAGCATCTTTTCTCGTGTTCCTGAAATGCTTTGGTCCTCTGACCGGTCGTCGCATCCCATACCGTTACCGTGCCCTCATAATCGGATGACGCCAGCATGCCCTTGTGAAAAGAATTCCATGAAACGCATGAGATTTTAGAGCTCGAAACCATCTCGATACACGGATAATGAATGTCCACAGTGTCACGTATAACGGCGCCATAATCGAAAACTTTTATTCGCTTTGTCACACCGGCTATTGCAAAGAACTCGTTATCCTTGTCAAATTCTATACTAGATACGATAGTGGAATTGTTGAAGAGATCCGATGAGTAGTTGAGAGTGGCCAACGGACGCAGAGAAGTGTACCTTGAAAATTTCACGAGATTCTCGCGGAAGACGTTCAAACCGGAACTCGTGCTGTGCACGCCGCCGTGCTGCTGCGCTTCACTCTGGTACTGCAGTTTCTGACCAAGCAGCAATTCTTTACCGCGAGAATCAAAGTAGCATTGAACGAAATCGTCGAAATGAGCATGCAGCCTCTTCCTGCGTACAGCTAGGGTCGATCCGCCTGACTGAGCAACGCTCGGATTTGTCAAGTTATCGTTGCCGACGGTCGCCTTGTCGCTAGGTTTCACCATATTCGAATCTATTATGTCTATAAGGCCGAGCATCTCCCTTCTGAGAGCCGAGACCTGCGCGTTATCATTTTCGCTTGCTTTCTTCACGTCCTCCGCTCGTGGACACTTGCTCTGAACGTCTTTTAGAATGTTTTCCACCTCCTCCATGTCTTTCTTGATTAGCGCCACTTCCTTCTGCAACTGATTCATCTGCTCCTCCTTTTGTTGCAGCAAGTGTTTTAGGAATTCGTACAGGAGTTTGTTTTGCGCGGTACAAGTCTCTGCCTCCAGTAAATGTTTCCGCTGAGTCAGTACTTCCAACATAACATTTACATCAGGTAAAGTGAGATTGGCGCTTTCCGCCGCCACGATGCTTCTTAATCCATCGGCTGCCGGTATTGATAAATCGTTACCCGACGTTCTATGTCTGCTGTTCTCTGCATAAGAGCCTAGCTGTGCGAGGCCTTTAGTTCTCGTTTTATATTTTGAGACTAGTTCGTCCAACAAAAAGTTTGGAAAGATGTCTTGTTCCTTCAGAGTGAAACTGCATTTTGGACATCGGTCCTTAATCTCTAGACACTTGACGATGCAGTGATGGCAAAACGTATGTCCGCAACGTGTGATGTATGCCGTGTCGATGAGATCAAAACAAATTGGACACATGTAATCGTTGCTTTTATCTTCTAATATACCGGTCATCCTCTGCAGAACATTTGTTGATTGGTGATGTTTCCTAATTTTACCGCTACTGTCGCCTAATCCACCACTGCTCCCTGCACTGCTATCGTTTCCCATATCACCAGAACCCGACATTACTACTATTATTCTATCAGATTTTTTGTCAGTCTTGAAGCAATGATGGTTAACCGAAGAGTTTATAGTTTAAAATCCCCTAATCGGACATTCAATTCGATGAAAAGAATCCGTTGATTCAAAAAGAATATGTCATAAATCAGGCAGTATTATAATTTTTATTTTATAAAGCGCAGCGTATTTCTAGGAAATCCTTGTGGGGCAAGTTGCGCTTCATATCATGTGTATAATACCATCTCTCAGTCTAGTCACTCCTGAAACAATGAAAATAATGCCAGTGAGCTCATGAGATAATATGACTACTATTGAAAAATTCAGAAGTTTTAATAAAACGGAAAATATTTTATGTGAGAAATTTTAAGATAACAAAGGGAAAGCACTTCTGAATGTCAGATAAAGCTCAGGCAGCATTATAACAATTGTTTCAGGCTGGAAATATGAATAAAATATTTAAACATATTGTTATATCTTATAATAAAACGAAAGCGAAAGAACAATTTGATAAAGTAATGCCGTGTAAGGACTTCTTGTATGTATAGTTTTATATCTTAGTGTACACACCTGTTAAACAAATTGTATGTGAAAAGTATGTACATACATATATGTATATGTGAAAAACAAAGAAGGGAGAAGGAAAATAGGAGAAAGAGAGAAAGGAAAAGAAAGAAAATATACAAGTCAATTTCATTGAGAAAAAGGATATGTAATACGGAAAAAGAAAAAGATACTTCGATATTAAGTAACATATGTGTCCAAATAATTACGAAAAAGTCTGGCGAGATTATATTCTATATAGCGATCAAGGGGAACAGCCTTGTTAGATAAGAACGACACTAACACAGACGTATTGCGATGTGATACCATTTCTAAAATCGCACGGATGCATAAAAGATTACAGCAGTAATGAATATATACATATAATATTTAAAAACTTACAGCAAGATGTTTTTCAGCAGCCTGCCGTTAACTAACTCATTGTACTTGGTTGCTGTAGGAGTAAGGGCGATATTGTTTTCATTCTCTGTCTCGTAAATACCAAGCACCAATCCTTTCTATGAGAAAAAATGGTAATAACACGTTAAAAGTGACTTTCTAACTCTCGTAAGAAATTCTTTTCGGGAACATTTTGAGGTCGTTACGAATCATATTGAAGAGTTCGAATCAAATCGGCAATAACTATCAATATTCGATCGTTAATATTATCATTTACGAAAGGCTTGAACAATTTGCGTGCCGTTTCGTACTTGAAATACTCCGACATGCACACAGCGATTGTAAGTCGTATCGGACATTCGTCGTTAATTGTTCAAACCTCGACGAAAATTTAACGTTTCCTCTTTTTGAGAAACAAATTCGTGCTATTTTAACCAGTAAAACAAAACGGCGAGTGAAATTGCTTTATTACCTTCATGGTCGATACGCTGGCGAAGAAACGTAAGTGTAAATTTCCGTGCAGTGTCACCTTAGCCCTGATAAAAGACAATGCCATAATTCGTTCTCGAGAACATTTAGATATGATGCATTGTCATGGAATAATAGCTGTAACTAGAGTGGAAACTTAGATTGATTATTAGCGCCATGCATAGACAACTACGTCAACTATGAATGCAAGAAATTATTTCTTTTTTACCAATTGTGGGTATGATAAATACTCTTTTAACGCATTGACAGTCGGTAAGATAAAATTACTCCGTATCGCTATTCTTTATAACGCAATGCCGAGAGTAATGTATTAAAAGAAATGGAAACGTTATTTTGTTATACTATTATATAACTTTTACACAATGTAATGGATAAACAAATTTTTTATACTTATCAAACTGTTATAAGTACTAATAAAATACACAATCTTAAATAATCTTCTTATTAAATTTGTCGTTGATTGATTTTCATATAACTTTTCTATAAAATTATAAAATATATTGTTTAGACAGCATGTTGGAAAATGGAATCAATGAAGTTTGAAGCTTACGTCCGTGCAATAACAAATGCAAAAATCGGAAAATAAAATAATCTATTTTTTGTCTAATATTAAACACGTTCAGTTGATGAAAATTTTTCTGTTCAATTTTTTCAATTGGTGCGGCAAGCTAATTCTATAGATCAAATTCAAATATAGAATTCTACAGTTTTCTTAAGATATTTCTTTTAACATTAAATGTTTTCAATATTACATGTATTATTTACGTGGTCGCTCATTTCTTCATATTTCATCTAGCATTTATTGGTATACAGTTATGTACATATATCGCGCGAGAGATACGCAATTTCACGCGGCGCTCTCATTATATTTGTACAAAGTCCGTGTAAAAATACAGCAACCCCATTTCATATCAATTACAAGTTTATAGTACGTGATAAAAGTTAAAATAATAACAGTCTCGCCTCGGACGTATCCAATATTCCGAATATGATTCGGATCGAGACCACTTGTGCCCTCGACTTTGTCGATTCGAGTGTGTTGTGTCATTTGGCACGCGGGAGCGATTTCCGCCACCCGCCACTGCTAGCCGTTAAATAGAACAAGAAGCACTCGAGTTTAATGGGAATGGCTACGATATATACGAGCAATTAATTTATTCAATGACTTGGCTAGTCGCAATAGTCGCTCAGTGTTCTTCTCATTCACAGATCAAAAATACGGTGCGTTCGACTATAATTACTGGACTACGATATTTCTTTAAGTCGTATGACGAGTATACATATTGAAAAAGATTTTACGCCAACTTTGCTCTTCTTTCCTCATTTGTTTAAGAGATTCAAATAGCGAGCAAATTTCTTTCAATATCATTTTTTTGTTAAACAAATGTTTTATTAAAACTTGTTTGATTTTTCGTTAGTTTTTCTTAATATATGATCTATTCTTCTATAATTAGCTTTTTTTTTTATGCTAAATAAAGCAAAATATATCTTTAGCTAGAAACTAGTATAACTCAATTTTCTTTTTAATTAAAAGAAATTGTAATTGTGTTCCTATATTAAAATGTGTTCCAATTAAAAAAATATCAGATATTATTATTAAGATCAATCGATATCTATTTTTCTCTTTAACTTTTTTTTTCTTTGATTTTGCTACAAATTGATAATTTCTACAATTACTAATGTTTATTGGTATCTAGTAGGTATTTATCAAGATTTACTGGACTTCAAGATCATCTTCAAAATCCAAGTGGCGGCTAATCTTTCTCATAATGTGTACATTCTCTATCGCACTCAGAAATTCTTAGAATCGTAGAAAATTGTTATATGTAATACGCATTTACAAATTTGATTCATGTCACGGCTAAATCTTTCGGTAGTCTACGCAAAGTTAACTACAATTTATTTATGTATTAGGATTAGGATTCAAATATCCAAATATTTTTGCTATCTGCTGACTCTATGTCCAAACTACGAGTTTTCTCTCTTTTTTTTTCTTTTAAATTATAACGCAAATCTTATGTCTAAAGCGACATACGTACTACTTACTCAAAGTATATGTATGTATCACAATATATATATATGTATGTATTAGCATGTAGATGTAACAGAGTACAAACGAGTATCCGAAGCAATATATAATTTGCCGCGCTTACACGCGATTTCGCAGCGATTCTCGCGCAGCGATTAGGCACAACAAAGCGAATCGCGCGGACATGGCCACTGGCTCATAATTAAATACTCGAGTATCAGAACCGGTAAAATTTCAGTGATTTTGTAATCAAATGTTACAAATGGTTCGTGACGATTTTCTCCTTTTTCCTCAAAAAATAGTCACTGTAAATTAACAATTTTTCTTATCTAGAATTAAAATATATTGAAATAAGCATTAAGAATTGCAGTTTAGATGCAGAAAAATACAATATTTTTTCAAAAGACGAAGAAAACAGTTTTAAATATTATTTTTGATCTCAAAGAAAACGCATTAAAAATTTTACGAAATAAATTTCCTTCAATTAAATTGTTTTTTACAAAGTGTAGAATTGACTCACGATGTGTTAACATCGATTTCAATTCCCAATTAATTCAAGAAGAAATATAATATAATTCTAAAAAGTAAAAAGCATGCTTTCTTAAGAATTCTTAAAAAGCAATTATGTCTTTGAATCGTATAAAAGTAACATCACATTTTTTTATAAATGAAGCACACATGCGTTCGTGTGCTCACATTATACCCCCCTCCCCCCCACACACACACACCCCACCTCTCCCCCACACAGGCACACACAAAAAGTGAGTTTTTTTCATAAATTTTTGCTATCACTATTCTCACGAAAGCGGAATAAAATACAAAATACGATCGGTCACGTATAATACACATTTGATGAAGCATAAGTTCTGCGGAGTTTTAATTTAATTATATACGCAAATGTACACACATTATAATTGTAAATGTACTGTCCTTATGAGCTCATAGTTGAAACTTCATTTAACAAATCAGACTCCCCCAATTACTTTTAATAAACGAACGTATAATATGCGTAGCGCCTTATCGCTGCTATCAATAGTTGCATTCAGTTGCAAAAATTGATTGTACATATGTGTTCTTAAAAAAATAAAAAAAATAAAGTGTAATTAATTAGCAATATAGCTTTCTTTAATTTGGAACCATTTACAATTTTAATGACCGCATACAGATCGTTAATTGTTTGCTAGAAGAATTTGTTAATTTAGCTGCAATATATAATTCGAAAATTAAACATAATTTGCTTATATTATAAATTATGTAAGTACATAACAGTATAAATAGCTTTAGTTAAATAACTTTAATTAAATTAAAAGAAATCTATCAGACCCTGTTTATATCGTTTAATAATTTTAAACAAAAATGTTGCTAGTTGTATAATATTTACGTTATCTCTTTTTCTCCCTCAGAGAATAATATTTCTTGTTAAGGAATGATACAAAATTAAATAGCTATAACGAGCATATTAATATCATTAATGTTATTATTCTTGAGTATCGAGTCCATATCAATCTGACTTTGTTGTTTTACTGTACAGAGTGATGACTCATACGTTTTGACACGTCAGGCAGGCAGTATGAGAAGTCAGTGATCGTAGAGATCTTAAAGAGAGGATACATTAACCGTACTCATACGTGTTGGCTGATGAGAGCTAGCAGAGTCGACTTCATAAACGATTATAACTGATTAACTGAATCGATCTCGCGATCTGTCACCAAAAACGGAATTGTCGCATCTCAGATGATCAGGCAAGTTTGCGCGACAAGTTGTGTATGAAGCAGACTTTTAAACGTGAACACGTAAATACTCTGTACTGACGATGGGTTACTTTTTTTTAGCTCGAATACACGAACTGTGAGAGAGTACAAGGAACTTAAACTCGATAAATATATATTCGATATAATGCACTGCAAAAAATATGCAAGTCGATTAAGAAGAATCGTGTGAGAAATCTATATTATAAAATTATAACTATATAGAATACGATGCTGATAACAAAAATATTTCTTACGCTTTGTTATATGCGGATCGGTTTTATTGTATATAAAGGTTTTCTTTTTAATTTATCGCTGTAAATTATAAGTTTTTAAATTATAAAAATATCTTTTTATATTTTTTATGATTGTAATTAATATAATAAAACTGATATCTTCATCTTATTGTATTATTTCTCAGTCATTTTTAAAAGTAAATTGCATAGAACAATTAATTATTAATTCTAGTTAACCCACTCTCTTGCAAAACAGGAATATGTACCTTTCTCCTTTCTCTGGATCGTAAAAATATATTTACAAAAATGCAATCGGACAAGAGAATATAAGTACATCGAATGACAGCACCACGGAGTTAAGGGAATGATTAAGTATGAAACAGGAGGAACGATCATGTCCCCTGATAATTCGCGCAACAAAAATTACTAAAACCTGGCGGAACAATGCGTTCATAAAGAAATCCGCATTTTTGTATAGTCTTGAAAAAATATAAGCAATCCACCGTTGGCTCAACCCGCGATTTTCACGAATACGCGCTGCAGATGCAAACTAGATGCTTCGTGAGATGCAATTAGAAATTGTCAATGATAGGAACCACGAGTGAATAATAACGTTATTTGAACGTTACAGGCAGGTCGAGAGCTAAAGAAACCAAAAGGCTTCCCCCAAAAAGTCTCGAACTTCCATTCGAGGCTATTTGACGTCCCGGGGGTTCACTGCCCCATCAAGATCAGCTTTCATTTTCGATTAGCTTTGATCGTGATATACTTAAGTTTTACTTCTTCGCGATCAATATCATAACCTTAGCTATGTTATAAACGATATAGCCGATATACGACACATCACATTATAGTAATGACTATAATACAGAAAGAGAATACACATTATTATAGTTAAAACTATAAAATGTGCATAATTTTCAGCCACATTTATAGCTAAGGCTATAATATAAAATATATAATAGCTATGTTACAGCTAGGGCTAAAACATATAAGGTATTTAATACCTGGTACTGTAGAGCGATGATTATAATCTAGTGTCTGTTATAGCAAATAAAAATATAAGTTTCGAAAGAAATGATTAATGAAAATTAATCAGTTCAGGCTATCAATGAATGTAATTTGTCTTTTGTTTTCTCGCGATCAATATATCGTTATATAAGTCAAAGCTTCATCTTTGTCATTCTAAGTGTGACTTTTCTTAAGTTTTGGAAAAAATGCAGATTAACAGCAGGCACGGCGTAAATAGATTTCAAGATAAAATATTACTTTTAATATCTTAAAGCGTTTTCTGTTTCGAGTATAACGCATTAATTGTGCTGATCCCTAAAAATTTAAAGCTATCATTGAGAAGAAAGTTGAGGACAAATTGTAAGACATAATCTGCTGTCATAGTTTTGGAAAGTATCAAGCAAGTAAATCAATATTTATATACTTGCAGTGTTTAAACACTAGTCGCTCTTAAACAGTGGATTTGGCCCCTTTCTTTGGAAGAAGAAAACTGGCTTGATCGTCAAAATCTAACGTCGGCGCAGCCCGTACGTTTGCCGTCAAAACTTTGTTTTGTAAAATTGTTTAATTCATTCAACGAATGTGCCTGAAGACCATCGCGTTATCAATTTTAACATAAACATTCGCAAACGTAGAACCAGCTGCGCTGTCGCTCCATTCTGAAGAAAGAAAAAGGAATAACAACGATAATCAGTTGGAAAAAATGACAAATTAAGACACCGTTCGACAAATCAGGCGACAACCTTTCTTTTCATATTTTTAGATAGGATTCTTCCGCGCACGAGCTAGCAATTCAATGTTATATGTACGAAATTATTATTCCGCGTATTTTAAAGTGATCTGTTCGCGCTAAGAAAAGGAATAAAAATATAAGAGTTCCTTGGTCGCCTGGCTCGAAATAAAACGCGAACACGCTCGTTATAGAAATCAATGGTCACGTGTCCGAGAAGAGAAACTCGCTTTCGGACAATAGTACCTCCAGGTCGGAAGGTACGGTGTGCAGATCGGAATTGGCCGGTTCTGGTAGATCACTGCCGCTATTCCTGATACCAGTTGGAGCGATTTGTCGCGCTCTGCCTATCCTGACGCGATCTTTTCTTTTAGCCGTTCGCAGAAGCACTCCGGTTCTTGGCAGCTTCGCTGTTCTGCCGCTCGCGTTTGCGTGATTCATAGCTGTGGCTGGCGCTTGAGCCACCTTGTCGGATTTGCGTAGCTTTACACTGAATCGGAATGGCGGTTTATATACAACTTGGAGCCTTGCCCGTTCCTTTCTGGCGAGAGAACTGGACAAATTCTTCAGTTCCGCTCGTCCGGCTTCCGCACCGAGTCGTCGCGTGGACGTTAAAGCCTGTTGCCTCGACACCGTCGGTTTGGCTCCCGCTGCCCCGCCGGTCGTCAGCCCTACCGGAGTCGACTTGCTTTTCGGCAAACCGTTCACGTTATTTCGCGCACCAGTCTCTGGTCGACACTGCGAGGACGCCAGTAACCAGGAACGCACTTTGTTCTTGGGATCGGCGTTCGGCTCTGGTTCCTTTTCCGCCTGAATCGCCGAGTAGTCGATCACTTCCTTTCTGTGCTGCTTCTTGCGCTTTCTCTTGTCGTTGTCGCCGTTCACCGTATTGTTACCGACACTTTGTCCTTTGTCTTTTGTTGACGTAGTTTTCTTCCGTTTGTTCTCCTGCGCAGCAGCAGCTAGAGCTTCGGCAGGTCGCTTCCGTACGAAGTCGTCTACTTGTCCGGTGGATAATCTCTTGTTTTGCTGATTTGGTTGTTTCTTTTTCGTTATGACGTCCTTTAAGTAGAAATAAAGAATTCTTTTTTCTCCAATAGCCACAAAAGCAGTCATATAAAATTATAGTTTTTTAAATTTTATTTAAACTTATTTAAATTATGTTATCTAAGTAATTTACATTCAATTATGTTGGTATAAATAAATTAGTGCAAAAATATTAGTATTCAGTATTTTTTTAATAATTAACATTTTTTTAAAATAAATTTTTTTATTGAAACTGATCTTACCTTATTGTTAGATTTATTATCTACATGGCCGCTGTCTTTATGTTTGCGATGACGCCTCTTTTCTCTGACTTTTCTACTGAGAGGAAGTTTTGCACGTACTGCTGGCGGATGTACCGTCACTCCCTCCGCACCCTCCGGCGGAAGTCGAACCGTTTCCGTCGTAGAACTGTGGATTATCGTGACAGACTTTAGCTTCAAGTCCGGTCGTTTGCCCAGTAATCTCATGCTGGCCACCTAAAGCGAGAAAAAGAGATTTTTTCTTGATTTTTATTTTACTTTTTCATTTTTTATTGAAAATATGCAGATTTATGAATGTATGAAAATCGAGGTAATAATTGCCATATGTATATGTAAATATGTAAATGTCACAAACTGTTTTTTATAAAATAACAAAGATTACAATTTGCGAGAAAGTTTAAATTACTATTTCATTCAAAAAGCAATTACTTTACATTTTTTTAGCAGCTACAGGAATTATTGTTTCTACATGGTAAGTTGCTGATATACATTTAATAAAATCTGCATTATATCTTAGAATTGCACATAATTCTAATTAATAATATACACAATAATGTATAATGATACATTTTTGTCAAATATTATTTTGTAATAAATATTGCTGAATTGCGATATACAAGTAGCCTACATAACATGTTCCTACACTTACTCTCGTTGCATTTCACTCTTTTCCTTAGCCGTTTCTGGCAGTAAACATTTTCAATATATAAGTAAAATAATCGGTTTCTCTTTAGTATTTCTTTATGCAAAAACATATTCATTTATGTATTTCATATAATCAAAATTTAACAAATTAGTTGTTAATTGAAAATAATTAAAAGAATAAACAAAGGAAAAACTGCAGGATTTTAGAATTTGATTTTTATGATAAAAAATAACAAGTAGCTCAATAGAAGATCTTAATAATGATATACGTACCAGTAATGATATTGCTGCCAACACTATCAAAGCAGCAGCATACCAATGTTCAGCGACCCACCGCCTAAAAGTAGCAAGGCTTTCGTCGGATAATAAGAGTTTTCTTAAAGTCGCTAATGGACCGCTTGGATCAACCTAAGTAAAATATTTCAATTAATGTCGCTTCTTTCCCTCAATCATTCGTGACCAAGTTTTACTCACCTCGCGACATTTTTGAAATACATCGCAGTAGCCGTTGTAATCATTGCACGGAGTTCCAGGCTTCGAAAACATATCGGGGATATCGTACGGCGGAGAGTTCCAGTCAAAAGACGATCTACGAAAGAATATCCGATAAACATATCAATCTTTATGAATTTTTAAAACTTTTTTGCGAATTCATTGAGAAATAATATGAAATAATGTACAGGCATGGTTGATTTTCACCAGGAAGTCGGCAACAGAGTTCGCACGCCTTTGTCGATAAATCGTTCGGACCCGGTATGCACTGGCAAGATTCCAATCCATATGCTAAGCAAATGCTACCGGTACATTCCTGTTGCAGACATAGATTTTATGCATGTGAGATAAGCCATTTTTGTTTGCTCAAAAGTATGTATAATACTTGATATATATGTATATAGAATGTTCCGGAATATGCAAATTTGTATTTCAAAAGTTGCTGCTTAGATTAAAAAAATCGCAAAAATTCTTATTGCTTGTCTTTTAAGAATTTTCCTGTATCGTAGCTTTATTCGTGAATTTTGGCACACTTTATATAGCTTTAATGAGACTAATATTTACCCCCATGAAGCAAACTAGTTCGCGACCATTGCAGATAGTCTTATTAGGCTTGTTAATTGATGGTGGGCAATACGGTGAACGACCGTCGCAGAAGCTTGCGTCGCGACAACCATTATCGTCTCTGCACTTATCTCCAAAACGGAGATTACATTCGGCGGTACAGCACGGACCCTGAAAAGAAAAGCAAATAACGCTGTCGAAATTATATCATGTCACACATGCGTAGAATATCATATAATTACATGATCCATATATTCTATTATAAAAGTTGCGCGCGTCTAAAGTAAATTTTACGCAATATCACTTAAATTAATTAACACTTGAAACAAAGAACGAATAATAAATGTAAATATACTGATAAACAATTATTCGGAAATTTAGATATTTAATATTTAATATTCAAGATTGAATGAACACAAGTACGACTAGAAACTCCGAGTTAAATTTTGAGGAGAGAAAAATCGTCTGAAAATTCCCTCGACAATACAGTCCGACACGAATCTTTTACAAATGTCATGCATACTTGACTAGGACTGCATATGGAGCCTGGTGTGAGTGTGCACGGGGTTTCCTCAGCTGGCGGATAACGTCGCTGAGGAAAACAACACGAGTCTCTACAATCCTCTTCCCAGCCACAGTCGCACTCCTCGCCCTCTTCTACGACGCCGTTGCCGCATAGCGAAACTTGCGGTTCTGCAATAAACATCACAGCTTAGAGCTCACAGAATAATTAAAGAAATATATGGGGTGTTTTCGATCAATTTTGTTTCGTCATAATCGCACTCTGTGTTGTTTCTGCTTATAAAGCTCACCAGTGAAGCATCCCTTCGGCGAACGCGCCTTGCTGTTCAGCACTGGATTTATAGCGTTCAGGCTGCACGGGCTGAAGCGATTGTTATTACGCTTATCGCCGCTGGTAGCGCGGGCAAACATTATAAAATTACCGTCTTCACCGCCCGGTGTACATTGTTCTGGATCGTGCTGGAGGCAAAAGGACAAAGAGACATTATAAGCCTGCCACAATCATTTGTTTATTGAGAGAATAACATTATGTAGCGTCCACTGCAAAATGTAGAACACAAAGTTCTGAATGCAATTGACGTGTGGAAATATAATGCGTACCGGCGAGCCAAAGTTGTGGCCGATCTCATGAGCCAAAGTAACGTGGGAGACCGCAGGCGGTACGTGCTTTCCGTAATTTAATAAGGTCACTATCCCGGTGTTTAGCGATTTCATGCTGCCGCGGTAATGCTGTAACATCATTTCGTCGATCATTTTTCGCTAAGTTTGATTTCATGTTTTTTTTATACTGTAATAGTTGTAAAGAATTTGAGAAATTAATTTTGTTAAGTAATTTAATAATAAATTTTTTTTAAATTTGATATATTATCAAATGTTAAAAAAGTTTAATTACACATTCTTGATTCAGCTATTGAAAACTAGAAGAAATTCTAAAGAAATATTTATTCGAAGAATCTAGATTTATCGCTTTTTATCTGCACTTACTCCGTTCTTCTCACATACGCCGCCGGCATTCTTGAGATCGCCCGTCCACGCCAAACCCAGAGTTCCCATTTCGAAATCCCGATACGTGAACATGTAAGCCAGACAGAACGCGTCATAGTCCTCCTCTGTAACAAGGCGAACATCAAAGTATTATGAATTCAGCGGACTATTGCTTCGTATGAATATTAATGTATTGGAATTACGTCATATTAAGCTTTAACACAAACACCGTGAGAAATTTTTACCTGAAAAGAGTTCTAAATACTTTTCTACGCCGTAATTGCCCGGAAAACGATAATTGGGATCTCTCAATGCGATTTCGCTGTGCACTTTAATGCGTTTTATCATAAAACTGATGTTATCTGGCCGTCCATCTTGGTTGAAATCTGAAAAAAATATGACATTGTTAGAATATTGCAATTGTTGGATTTAATATTTAAATATCAATTTGTGTGGATAAATATATAAACACCAATTATAAATAAAATAAAAAAAAAACAAATCTTTCTCTTATTATTATCAATCACAGTGGAAAATCCTACAGATATTTTGATAATTTCTCTGACATTTTTGGTATTTTCTGAAATTCCTTTTTCCTCGCTTTTTCAATATATTTTGACCATTTTAAGTTAGATTTCTTTGAATTTATTGTCTATAGTTTCTTGATAGTTTTAAATTTATTTGACTTTTTGGTCTTTATTTCGATTTGTTTTCCGGCATGCGACAAATCTGTTAGATCATTTCTTCTATGCGAGCACGCGATATATCGCTGTGGAGAAGAACACCAACCTGTGTGTTTATAAATGGAGTTGACTCTTTGCACGTGCCTCGTCATCACCTCGATACAAGCTTCCTCCGTGCCGTATCGCGCAAAAAACTGATGGTCTGCTTGCAAGTAGAGCATACAGGTAGTTTTCCGGGGATCTACCGTTGCGCGCTTGTGCAAATGCCTCGCGATCCGATCTTTGCTACTCGCGCTACGGACAGGGAAAAGAAATAAGGTCCCTTTATTGAACGATAAAAAACACCGCGCTTCTCGTATCTAAATTCTTAACTCTGCGCTGAAAATGTGCGCTTGTATAAATTCTATTTTAATATTGCGAGTTCAATTCAGACTATGATTTTCATATCTAGTGTTACTATCACTAAAACAGCGGAAAAAAGAATGAGAATATTTTCTTCTCACAAATGCAAAAATACTCACGCGTTCATGAATTCAACATCATTATTCCTTTCTAATGTTAACACCCTCGCGTTATTTTCTCTCGAGTAGAGAGCAACGTGTTCGCCAAGCAAAGGCTCGTAGAATGTCTGAGAATTGTTGTACCTGTACCTAGAGAAACACACATCGCAAAGTTTAAATTTACATTTAGAGTTCGCCATATGAAAACTGACGTGAAACGCATAATATATGATAATTGCAGCTGACGAGAATTTCCTTAAACATGTCTAAATAACAGCACATCTGCCAACAATACGTGCTTTTTTATTATTCTCTCTATGTGAGTAACTTTTGTAAAGTTAGATGACAGAGTGTATATGCCGAGAATGTGTAAAATAGCTAGTTATATAGTCACTCAAATTATAAATTACATTTAACATACACAATATAAGATAAAAAATAAATTTTAATGAAATTTTATCAATATCTGCTGTATAATGACATAAAAATATTGTAGGATGATTATACTATTATTTAACTACATTTAACTATTCTAAAGAATAGTTTATATAAACGTCTGTTATATTTATAAAAAAAATATATGTCATTACAATTCGAATTCAAGATCTTATAAAACTTCGTACTGATTTTAATTTCGTTTCCATGTCATCATGAAAAATCACTCATGAATTTTAAATTGGTTATATAATCCGAAGAAGAGAATTATCGTCGTTGTATCTCCGTTCGATTTATATCGATGATCACTGTTTATTGATTTCCAAGAATTAGCCGGACTCACCTTTCGAAGGAATTACGAAAAGCTTCCTTCCGGTGCAGCTGATGACTTGCGCACGGTAATGGATGTGGCGGGGTGATAACATCAGAAGTACGATAAGCTATGCTGTGATAGGGCGGCGACGTGTCTTCATTCTTATTCAAATACCTGCTCGTCGGCTCGATGTAGTACTCTTCGAATCTGGTCACGACGCTGCCGTCGAAGAGACCATCTTTTGTAACGACGCCCTGCACCACGGCGCTCTCGTCCTCTAAAGAGAAAAGAAAGCCAGTCAATAAAATGTCAGTGATCTAATTTACGAGAAAAAACAATAATTTTCATTATATCGTCGATTGCTCAGCACAATTTTCAACATTTTTCCCTATACAGAAAATATTTGCAGAGTGTGATCAATTATTCCATACAATACATATATAATACATAGCAGCCTGCCGCATTTTAATAACACTCAAAAACTGAAATTGCTAAATATGTTATTAATAGCTTTCACAGAGACAGCTCATGTTGAATGTACGCGGTATAACGCCGAGCTACCCTTTTAAATCTACGAAAATATGATGGCAAACCACGGCGGCAAAAAAATTCATTCCCACAGTGCACATAAAGTTACCGTTAAGGTAATTATATTTGTAGAAGCCTTTATTTCGTGTGACCGTGCTTTTACTATTTTTTGAAATTTTTACGAAATTTTTGAAATTACTTCAAAAGTTAACCAAAATGCGCGAGGCGAAATTGAGAGAGAGAGAGAGAGAGAGAGAGAGAGAGAAGAAGAGAGAGAGAGAGAGAGAGAGAG